GATATAATATCTTAAGTTCTACCTACACATAAATGCCTATTATGATTAAATATAAGGAATACTGTTTTTATGGTTATGAATCCTGTATTGTCAGGTGTGTGTTAGTTATATTTTTTTTATTCGATATTCGATTGTGTCTTGTATGATAAGGATCTTGAGCGTTTGAAAGTTTCATACTCATTCCCATGGGTATTATATAATCTATTTTTTTATACAGGTACTCACATATGCGTTGAGTGTGTTCATGTATTGCACCGTATGTTTTATTTGTTATTATTGCTGTTTATGAGAGATTTTTTTTTGTTTCAAGTTGTGTTTTGGCGCCACTCTTCTTGTTTATTTGATAGAGCGAGGGGGATTGATTGCAGAGCTTTTGCATCTATTATTGTTAGATGTTGCTTTCAAAGAGCTCAATATTTTTTATTTCCATTCTCCTTCGACCTCAATTTAATTTATGTAGATATAAATTACGTTTTGATGTTGTTGTGGTTCCTTGATGGACCCTATATTGTTATCTTTTATAGTTGACGTACAATATGCTTTATATATCTTGGCAGGAGCTCTCTGTTATATGCATTGGGGTTTGGGAACCTCCAGTATTTGTCTGATTGGATGTTATGAACTGTATTGTTTCCATAGTTTATAGTCAAAATATTCCCAATTTTTCTGCTTTACTATATAAAATTATAGTATATAATCTATCGTAAATAATTCACGAAATTTACTTAGAAAATAATCCTTCTGTTTATTATATATCACGCTATGTAACTTTTAATAGTAGTTAGTAGACATTGACAGATAAGTCTAGAGCTTTTAAAAGCAGAGCTTTATCTTCATGTGCAGTTGGAAGTGACCTTTCAAGTAAGTGGTGGACGTATTATTTAGAAAGGCTGGTATGTGCCTTTTAGGAAGAGCACTCTGTTCTTTTTGTTGGTCTTTCTGTAATTTAATTGTTTATAGTTATATATATCTATGATATACTATATTTGTGGAATATTCTCTTTATATTTTGCCCTAATGGTGTTATTATATTGAATTTCCCGTGATAAGTTACTCGATATATTTTGAATGTATAAAACTTGAGCGTGGATGAGTGTTCTAATTAATATGCCATTTGGCATAGATCAGAAGGACTAAGTACGAGTGTAATGGACTTCTTGTTAGTCATTGTAACTAGTTCGAACTAGATTATTGCTTTCAATGTTTTGTGATTTTTTTGTGACTATTTGTTTAATTTAGAGTTGAATCTCTCCTGTCTAGTATATGGCCACAAAGTGTGCAGTCATGCTTATATATATGTGAAAAGACTTTTCTTTATGATCTTCCCTGTTGTTACCATAATCATACAACCTTTATGTATGAATTTTTATAGATTTTTATTGCAAATACTGTAGGGGATTAGTCATTCTAAAGTACTTCCTATCCTTCACCGTGCATGTGAGGGTAAGGGTGTGATGAGAAGACTATTTGTAGTGATTAGTGATGATGATATTTCGGGTAGTGTAATTTCATTCTTTGATCGTGAATATCATTGCGTATTAACAGTGTTAAAGCGGCGTTATGTTTAGGCGTTTCGGGCTATAGTTCTGTCAATTGAAAAGATGTCTATTTTTAACAGTTTACCATTCTTTTTTTTAGTATGTGTAAATTTGAATTATATTTTGTGTAGATATTCATGATATCTGAAATTTATGTGTTACTTGTTGAATAAACGCAATTTGATGTCGCGTCAGGTCTTATTAATATTACTTTTATTATATTCATCCGTTCTATAATTAGTATTATACTACACTCGTTCATTCTCGATGTGTTCTTAATTCTGAATTTAAAGCTTTTTGTTGTGAAGACTTTATATTTCTTTTTTGTTTTTATAGTCTTATTTACACTTGTCAATGAGTTTGTATAGACATTGCTGACATAAAGATTTTTTCTTTAGCTATATTGTTTTATAATACTATTTTTTGTTTTTCTATATTTGATTCTCTCAAAAACTAGGGGAATATATAGATTTAGTATTTATTAGACCATCACTTATATCAGTTTATGAAAATAACATCACTTTACCATTGGTTTAGATTATGCAGCATAGTTAAAGCTTGATGGATTGGTGTTTTTGCTCTGTTGTTCGCTTATGTTGTCTTTTTCGATAGTATTTGAAGGGTTGTACATGTCTCTTTTTCAATTCTACTGTGTCATTTTTAACTAACGGAGATGGCTTTTACCTCAGAACAAATGATTGATTCGCATTTGCTAACACTATACAGTTAACTTTCTTCATGGCTGATATTAACCTTAATATTGACAAAGCTGTTTTGGTTTTCTTGCATGAAAAACAGTTTCATAACAATTACTATACATAATTTACTTCAATAAAATGCTAAAGATATTGTTAATATGCAATTGCTATATTTCTAATTGATTAGGAACTTAAATTGTGATTTATTTCTTTAATATTGCTTTTCCAAATAGCTTTAGTAATATTTTTATATTTTAATAGATAATATTTACTTATATTCCTGAAAACACGTGGGCAATATACTTAAGTAGGCTTTTTTCCATGAAGGTTCCAAAATTAATGTATATTCTTCTGCTTGTTCTGTTATTTTATTACATTATTTTGTTGATTTTACGTTCTTTGTACAAAGGACAATTACGATTGTAGGACCACTAAATGTTGTTGTTTTTTTGACAACCTTGGATTGTCGCGTCTACCCAACAGTTTTTTTGTGAAACTCACAGTCCATACAGTGAAGTAAGGATATAAATCAGTAAATCAATTTAAAGTGAACAAGACTAAGAATTTTATAGTAAGAAGAATTTTCATATTTTTTAATGATTGGTATAATATGGTAACTAGAACTTTACGTGTGCTGTACAATTCAAATTGTTCAATCTAATAGTGATTAAGTAGATCTTTGGGCTTACTTCGATGACTTTTTCTAAACATCTATTTAGTTTCAATATACTTATATTTAAGTATAGACACGGGCTGTCTCCAATTCATACTTCTATTATGCGCTTTAATGACTTAAACCAAAAGATTTTCCATAAAACTAGGCTAAATCTTTTTATGAATGTATATCAATGTGTTATATTTTATTATTTTTCTAAAGCTGAGAAAAAGAGAAATGCAGAAGAGGAGATAGGAAGGATTTAGGATTACCAAGAATGTGATACGTGCTGATGAATAAACAAATCAGTTCCCCACTATGCCCTCAAATGCAAAGATTTGGGGGGGGAAAAAAAACCCCCCCAAATTGGGGGGGGGCCCAGACGCTCTCGGGGTCTGTTCATTCAAAGCCTACAGAGGTTGTTGTTTGAAAAGGAAAGTGCCTTATTTCGGTTTAAAAGTAAGAATCAACTTTTGTCCTTTGTCTTCTTGTTATTGCCGTATCTTTCTGTTTTTATTGATTATTAAAAATTGTTGTATCTTTAAATTATTTATATTATCAAAAAACTTTGTCTGAGATCTACAATTGTATGATCACTGGTCAGGATGTTTGTTAGAAGAAATATTAAAATCTATTAACTACTCATTTTTGATGTTTTGTCAGACAGTACAGATATTATGCCAATGCTGATATTGCCTAGATAGGATTTCTCTTTATACTTTGTAGCATAGGTATTACTTAAGTCAAAAGAGTTCAAATGTATTCCATCTTTATTTCATGGTTCCTCAGCAGTACGCAATTAAAATGGATACACAGCTTATAATACCCAGGAAGCCTGTAGCGGTTATGTGCCAGTCATCAGGTCAAAACCACTGAGAACTGGAGCAGAGGTTTGTCTCCCCTGTCTAGATCTCATATATTAACATTTGTCTCCCTTTTTTGCATTTTTTTTATAAAAGCTTAAATTCAGATACATTGCTTCAAATTCTACTTGAGACTCTCTATGATTTAATATGTTGAAGGCATTTTGTCACAAGAAAGCTGTAAATTTTCATTGACAGCTGGCGTTCTTATTATTTACAAAGCCATCCAAGTAAGTATGATTTTAGTTAAATGATTTTTTCATTTCATATTGTGTCTCTTTTTTCTCAGTGATTTTACTATGACGAAGTATATTTATGCCATGAATATTTAAAATTTTTTGTGAGGAATGTTGCTGTTTTTATTGAGATGAATTATATATTAGTTATTTATTTATTGACTATAAACATTTTATTAATTGTAACAGGATGAGTTATTACTTTACACCACCAGGTTCCCATGGAGGAGAATCTTCTTTTAATGTTACTAGGAACAGGTCTAGGCATTGCTGGTACAGTGGGGAGTACTTAGACTGTAGCACCAAGAAGCCAGCCCGTATTTTCTCCTGTACCCTCCAGGCACTCTTTAGCAATGGAATATCCACCACTTCATGTATTTGTAAGTTATGATAGAATTATTTATAATTGTCTTAAGTGATAAAGATTTGCATAAAATTATGTGTTATTGTTTGAACTTTTTGTTCCAGAATTTTATTTTAATTGCTGTGTAAGGGCTGTTACTTATGGTGGCACAAAAGTGACATTTTGTGCATTTTTATTTATCTTGTGCTTACAAGTTAAGGAGTTGTATGGGATACTATGTTGTGGCCATGAGCTACTATGTTGTATAAGATACTATATGGGATTACTTTGTTATAGTATGACTTAGAAACTCTTGGCCACAACATAGTATCTTATGCGCACGAGATAAATAAAAACACACACACATCACTGTGCCACCATAGTAATAGGTGTGTGCTGTTTATTGTTCTGTTTTACCTGTTCACTGTTGTCTGGTGTGGTATTCAGGGTATTTAATTGAAACTTGTTCAACTTTTCACATGTACTTGTCTCTTTACTTACAGCGATTCTTGGCCTAGTATTGTATTAATGCAGTTAATTTGTTCTGCTGCTATGATAGAAGTTATTTTTATCTTTCTTCAAGAGTACAAGGACAATACAAATGGTACATTTTGTAGTAGATAATAATTGCATTTTTTTTTTTACAGCTAATATTTATTTATTATAGATCCGACATGGTTTACAAGTGTTTCAGCTCCGTACCTTTGCTGGGACGAGTGCCGATTTTAACTTGTTGTCCTTCTACCACGGTATTACAGGAGGCCACAGTTCAAATTGCCGCTGGCACAAGAGGAGTATATGGATAGGGGGTGTAATGTCTTTTTCCTTGCATGATTTTCCTTTACCGTTCTTCTGTATAACATCTTTTAGGGTCTTACCTTTGGTTATCATCTTTTGTGTTTTCACATGCAGTTCACATTAGTTGTACCTCTTTTATTTGTTTTATGTCACATTTTTTATCCTGAAATTGTTAAAGGTTTATCGTTTATAGATTTGAATATGAAGTTAAAGATAATTGGTTTTATATCTATATCTTTTTAATCCTATTGAAGGATATCAGTGATACACGGGGAAAAATTGTCTTCAGATGCCGCGTTTAAAGGTGTAAATCAAGGTCTATATGGTGCGAGCCAACTATTTCTCATCTACTCTCTTACTTTTGAAGGGTTTGAGGTGTATTCATAAAATTTTGGTTTAAATGTTGATCTCTTTAAAGTCAACTTGCAAAATCTTCTGTGCAGGGTTGTTTTATTGTCGTTTATCTAACAGTGAGTGTTTAAACCATTTTTCAATATCTAACTTGTGAACCGTATGAAAGATGTCCATGATACTTAGTCAAATGTTAGTCTCATTGTATGATATGCATTTCAGACACCCAACTATAGGACACTCATTCTTAAAGATCATCTGTTGTGCATTATTGTTTTAACATGTATGTCTTATTTTTATTACAGGATGTTGTAAGGGGAATAATGACATGGAAAGAAATTCCATCACAGGGTCTTACCTCCCTTAGTAACACACCTACACTAGACAAAATGTCTGGGGTCCCAAGATGGTATGTACATATAACTTGCATTTGTTTCTCATTTTTAACCAGGTTTCAATTTTTGAAAATCCTGGTTATTAGATTGGGGTATGGCGGGCGGATGGGCGGGCGTCAAACGAAATTGTGTCCGCTCTGTAACTCTTCAACCTTTGAAGAATTTTGATGAAACTTCAGACAAATGTTTACCATATCAAGATGACGTGCAGAACGCATGTTCCGCATGGCTGGCTCCAAGGTCAAGGTCACAGTGACATTAACATTGAAAAATCCTGTCTGCTCTGTAACTCTTCAACCCTTTGAAGAATTTTGATGAAACTTCAGACAAATGTTTACCACATCAAGATGACGTGCAGAACGCATGTTCCGCATGGCTGGCTCCAAGGTCAAGGTCACAGTGACATTAACATTGAAAATCCTGTTTACATGATTTTAACTTCGGGCGTCAAACGAAATTGTGTCCGCTCTGTAACTCTTCAACCCTTTGAAGAATTTTGATGAAACTTCAGACAAATGTTTACCACATCAAGATGACGTGCAGAACGCATGTTCCGCATGGCTGGCTCCAAGGTCAAGGTCACAGTGACATTAACATTGAAAATCCTGTCCGCCCTCTGTAACTCTTCAACCTTTGAAGAATTTTGATGAAACTTCAGACAAATGTTTACCACATCAAAAGATGACGTGCAGAACGCATGTTCCGCATGGCTGGCTCCAAGGTCAAGGTCACAGTGACATTAACATTGAAAATCCTGTTTACATGATTTTAACTTGATTTGGCAGTCAAAGGTCATATCATCTTTGGAGGTAATTTAAAAAAGATATGATAATATTATTTCATGTCTACTTTGTAACTTGTTTTTCATTATACAGAATTATCAATATAATTATAGTGAACAAATTCTTTCTGTGCTGAACTCGTCCTACATTTCTCAACGGATTTTGTTCAAACTTTCACAGAAGCTTTGTCATCAAGCACCCTGGCTCATTATTGTCGGGGTTTTGTGATTGGATAGTTTTTGACCTAATTATGGCCCTTTGTTTTTTTCCTTATACATAATATTATAGTGAACACTTCTTCAGTGGCAATTCCTCCTACATTATTCATGTTTTACATTGCACATAGTTACATTGTTTGTTGCTTGTATTTGTATTTCAAATACAACATATTTATCTACAATGGTGATAATTGAAAACCTGGTTTCATGGCATTGCCATGTTTCTTGTTCAGAGAATTTGATTTTGTTATTTTTTTTAATTTCAGTGTTTTATTTAGATTTTTTCATGAATTGGAAATATAAGTACTAGTAAGAAATATTTGCTCTTTCTAAGATGACCAGGCTATATAAAATGTATATGGAATTTCTAGTCTTAAGTTGTCTGTTTTATATACAGGGATGATCCCTTTGGTGAGGAGTTGTTACCTCAAGATGTTCCTGCACTTCTTGATAGCCTCCCAGAAGATGATGGTGACAATATTGTTGACGAGTAAGTGTTTTATACTGGGCCTTGAATACTTTTTTTTTAAAGATATAAAATGCCCATACTTTAATGAAATATGTTATTTTGACAAATTAATTTGAATGGATGATTTTGAAATCTTCTATGAACATGATAAGATGAGATGAAATGGCATCAATCATATTAATGTTAAAGTTATGAAATTATGAAAGTTAACATGACAAACATGCATATCTGTTGAGCTGTACGATAATGGAATTTAAGTGTAGTCAGACTGCATAAAAATTGAAGGCAAAACTGTCTCTTTGCAAGGGACACAGCTCTTTTACAAACTTTGGATGTGATATATTTTTATTCATTTTCATTACCGTACATACTCTGTTATAATATTATGATGCATTTACCACTAGTCACAAGAAATGCTGTAAAATGTGATATTAATTTCATTTATTACAGTGAGGAGGAGGATGGTAGAAGCACATCACGTATGTCTGTGGCCTTGACCCCTGACATGGTCAATGCTCAATTTCAGATGATTGACCCCTCAACACCAGCAGACGAGAAGGTCCAGGTGTAAGTACAACATTCTTATCCTGATTTAATATACCAGGTCTTGTGTATGTCCTATCGTTGGAATATTTACAAATATGTACAAAATTGACGTCTATATGAATGATATGGGTAATTATAATGATTCTATTTACTTGCTGTACAATTATGTTAATCACATACACCATACAGGTTTGCATTTAGTTAAGCTGAATAAACTGCAAAGAGTTCTGTTAATTACAGATAATAGAATAAATTTATAAAAGTCATTGATAAGGAGTATTTTTTTGCAATTTTTTTTATGGTTTTTTACACTTTTTAAACATTTCTTGTCATGATTGGGTGGTTGGTCCACTCATAACCTGATTTCCAGCTGTTCTCTGCAAATTAAATTATCCCACATGAATGAGTGGAGAGAAACAAATAACCATTGAGACTCAATATTTGAGATCAAATATCATGGTCAAATTTTGCCTTGGCCATGGTTCAAACCAGCGACCCTGGATTACAAATTTAATGCTCTCTTTGTTAAGCTATGCAGGCAGATTTATGTAATATTTGTCATTTCAGGGATGCTTTCCCACATGGAAACAAAATGCCAGCTTCAAACATTCCAGTATCATCATATGGTCCAGTACCTAGGTATTTATATCTTATACGTATAGTTACCACTAGATTATTGAAGGACATTGTTTTGTTTCCAAACTTCATTGAATAATCCAAGAAACTTATTGCATTTTCATCAGATATATTAATATTACTAAAATTTTACACATACTTATATTTAATTAGTAAATACCAATCACTATGCTTTAGGTGGATACTGTTGCTTATAAACCTTTTAATACTAATTTTGTTAATATTTCATTTTTAAAACACATACTTTAGCAGTACAGTTCTTGTTAAATTATCATAGTTGAGATGATATCATAATATTGATGTTTTAAATTTTCAGGGAGAAAAGGGAAGAAGAGCTAGAATATTTTATGACAAAGAAATACAATCGTCTAGGAGCCAAGATACAGTCTAGAATCAACACCCTTAACACACTGTCCACTGATTCTAAACTTGTGCTTAAATAAATAAACATTTGTTAAGTTTGTTATCATTGACTTTAGAGCAGAAGTGAAATTGTGCTGTTGTTAAAATGTTAATGGAAAAAATAATAAAGAATTTACTATAGAATTATGTTACTGAAAAGATTTGTTGAAATATTTCTTGTTAACGACAATTCTGTTCTTCTTGTGCATTTATCCTTCCCTTTCAAAAGTTAGGCTTTAAGTTTATTGTACAAAAAAGATTTTAAAAAATTAAGCCAAATAAAACCAGTCTAAAACTCCTAGTATTTGAATGGCTGATTCAAAATTGTTATTTCAAATTGCCCAATTGTAGACTTTAGTTAGTAAACTGGTTTTAAATTTGACTTTGTGAATCAATTAGTTAAAAGGCAAAAACTAACAACTATGTGTTTATATGGTCTGGTCTTGAGAACTAGAGTTTTATGTATAACTGAAAGGTCAATGTTTTTGTTAAATCATAAATGTAACTACAGTTTTAAGATGGTGTAAATGCACTAAAATTCATAGCAACTTGTTAAATTTTTAGCACTTTAAGGGGTACTAGGCAAAATGATTCTTACTTGAGCCAATGTTAATTTCCAACCCTTTACCTTGTTCAATATTTTATGAACCAATTCTGAATGTAAGTTTTTTTTTTTTATGTGAAAACCTTCATATTTTTTTATTTCCTTTTGGTAAGTTATTTTGAACAATATGACTAATCAAATAAATGTTTCTGCATGATTGAAAAATTAAGATTAGATAACTGAAAACTATTACTGTAATATGTAATGTACTGCTGAAAGTGAAGTTTGCAAATACTTTACATCTATAGTGATTTATATTTTTGTTTACAGAATATTTCATAAACTGTGATATATAAATATTTATTTGAATGTAAAAAAAACAAACTGCTGTTGTCTATTTTTTGTGAGTGTTACATTTGTATTAAATGATATACATAATAAAACTGCATGGTGGTTTTTTAATTATGTCATGAATAATGACCTTACTTTCTTCTACTTAGGAAGCTGAACTTAGGAAGCTGTTAAGCTACATGTACATTTTGAAATAATTGAATTTACTCCATGACTAAGTGATTAAGGTTATCTGACATTGGGCCCCACCACCACAGGGGGTTTCTCACCAGATACTTTGGATGACACTATCCGTCTAGGCTAAATGGCTGGAAAGTCCTCATGACTTTCATGGTGTCCATGTGTCTTAGAAACCGACAATAATGAAAGATAATCAACAAAAGTAAGATGAACAACATAATGAAAATATGACACCCCTCCGTGTTTGAATATTATGATATAACCATCATTCAAATTACCAATTTTTGTGGTAAACACGAGGTGAAGGAAATCACCAATACTCTAATGATAACACTCAAGACTGGGTTGTATGTTTATCATGCCCTCTCAATAATGTATGTGGAGTAGCTATGAATCCTGCATGATAAAATATCCAACAATAATTCAGATAAAAAATAAAACTGCTTGAAATGTATAGAATGTTATTCGAAATACAAAGACACTAATTACACTAGTTTGTATGTAAAGAAAATACTTTCTAATTTATATTTTTTATTAAATTTTGTTTCTGGCAATCCACTGATACATGTATTTTGTTTTGACCTCATTCTTGACAAAGAAATTAGAAAGGTAGATTAAATTTGACTGCCTTGTAAAAGTGGCTGTAGTGATATGAACAAATTCAAGTTAGCAAGTCACAAGCAGCAAAGGAGATACTCAATTTTTAACTATGGTCACCCATTAGAAAGTCACATTAAAGTTACACCAAAAACCCGACCAAAGATTTCACAGGAGATGAGCATCGTTTATGTAAGATAATGATGGACAGTCTTTATAACAAAAGTGCACCGTGAAGCTATAACAGTAAAAGTTTGTTTGTACTGGGGGATAAGCTTGGAAAAACCCACATTTGTCGAGTCCTGGATAACATCTATTTGACAGTTAGGGATCTATGCATAACATCTCAACTTGATATTTAGCTGTAAATAATTAATGAAAAGACAAATATTTCATTTCTGTTTAGCATTTTATTATTATAATAAATTCATAGCAAATTTTATATAATTTAAACTTGTGAATCATAAAAGTTTTATTTATTTGGCATACCTGTACAATAAATGTATGTACATAACATGTTATTCAAACATTCCAGTCAAACTACATTCATACATGACACATACTACTATTCAATCATCAGACGCAAACAAAAACACTTAATTTAAGCTAATCAGGTGTTATCAATAGTTAACTGTACTTATCACATCTTAGGTAAATTTATTTTTAAAGGAGGGAATGCAAGACAAATATCACTGCCATTTGTACACATTTGTGGACGTTTTAAAATTTAATCATGTTGAATTCTGCTAAAGCCAGTGCTATGGGCCATGGATGGTAGCTTACACTTAACACTTCCATCTATGAAAAGGCTCAATCAAACTGAGCCTGCAGCATTTACAATTTTGCCCTTTTGAGCATTTTTATTGGATTCTACTATTTTCTTCTGTAAGACTTTCATTAATCATTTTTTATTTGAGCTGAGAGTTAAGAAAGTCTTTAAAAGAGAACAGTGCTAATTGTTTGTTTGTTTGTTTGTTTGTTTCATTTTACGCCTTTTCCAACAGTATTTCAGTCATATAGGCGGGTAGTTTCCTAACCATAGTCCATGGAGAGTTACACCAGTACTTGACTACCTTCCTCCGCACTAAACTACCAAAGCATCTCCCGGGGATCGAACCCACACCAGAGAGGTAACTGGATTAGAAGTCATCTACTCTAACCCCTCGACCACGGAGGCGGATAACAGTGCTGATAATGCTAATGAAATAATTCTCAAATAATTGTCTGAATTTTAACTTTAAAAGGTGATCTTGAACCGGCAAGGAGGCAGTGTGGCTTTTGCACAGTGAACATTTGAATTAAGTTTGAATGATATTGTTGAAGTGCAGGATTTATATATTCGACATTGGGGAGACTATCTGACTAATGAAAAAAACATAACCTCAGTTTTAGTGATTTACAATTAATAAGAGAGATGAAAGTTCTACTGGCTAACTTACAAATGATCAACAAACACAATCAAATCAAGCATCAATTTCTCTTGTTTGAAAGTTACAGCATAAAGTGTTCAATTCAATATATCACAGTTATTTGCTAGCACTTCACTTTGACTACATCAATATACATGTATATATAGCATTTTATAACATATTTACAAATCTGTGCTATACAAAATATGTAAATGAATCATTGAAGTATATCATATATTTAATATTCATGACGATTGTAACAAATAAAATTCACAATAAACACTTTAACACTACTCTAATCCTGAATAAATGCATATCTATAAATAAACTGTGGAGTATTTCTTTCTGGAGGGTACTTCATGTAAACCATGTGAAAAAGAACATGTTAACACCTAAGTGTAGTAATGGGTTAGCTCCTAATGAATTATACAAGGAGTTAACCTGTTACTGCACTAAGGTGACCCTGTATAACAAAATAAAGCAGTAAAATCATTAAAGTTTAGCACTATGCACAACAATTATGACACAGAGACAAACCGCTTTTTGTTAGTATCAGTATGAATTTTGCAATCATAAATATTTTCAAAGGCAGGAAAAATATAGACTTCATAAACAATAAATCGTTCCCAGTAAATAACATTGAAATTATGATTTATAAAAAGACTAGTTTTTAAAATAGACCAAAATAAGGCATAATTTTCCTATCTGGAACTCCGAAGCATACAACTTTCTTAACAGCATTTAACCCTTTACTCAAAATGATAATAATTAATCTCATCATTTGAGGTTTTAGATAATAAATTATCAACATAGCAGAAAAACATAAAAATTCCAACTTAACCCTGCAAAAATTGTGCAATGCCATTACTTTTGTTTGGAACCAGCAAATTTGCAAGAACTTGAAAGATAAAACTAAAAAAAAAATCTTCAAATTGAAACAAAAAAAGCATATAAATTAGGATAGTTACAATACACTCCTGTATTCAGTGAACGATGTAAAGAACCATATATTTATGAATATAGGTATTTAAATATAGTAATTTGATTACATTTAAATTTCCATAGCAAGAAAAACATTTTAAACTTTTATTTCCACTTAATTTCCATTGGTCCATTCAATATTTTTCCCCATCCCAATTTACAGTCTATTCTATGCAGTATAATACAAAGGTAAACAACAGAAGAGAAATGTAAAAAATTAAAAAAACAACAAATATTTAATGCCGATTGGTTGCCACTGTGGTTATTCTAAAGAAACTTTGATGTGAGATCAGTTTTAAACATTAGATTTTCGTTTTGGCAGCTTTTCTCAAAATAGTCCTGCAAAAAAATTCCCGCTACCAAATGTCAATCGATGAATCAGCAAAATACATGTCATATGAATGAAAATATTTTTGTTTTTAAAGAATATAAGGTAAAACATAAGCTGTAAATAAAAAATATCACAATCTGCATATCAAGCATATAAGCTAAAATCATTAACTGCAGCAGTTGACATTTACCCAATGACCAGCAGAAATCATTGAATTTCCCCGCAGACTTGCATTTCAAGAAATGACCATTTCTTAATTTCAGTGATTAATTACATTCAAGAATTTGTGATTTGTAAATAAGCAAAACATGTATAATATTTGAAAATGAAGTATTTGATTATTTTCTGAGAGCAGATAATGTTGTTTTGTTTTTTTTCATAAATAAAATTACTATTCAAATTGGTCACCATGTATAAGGACTAGTATTTGTTATCCCGTGTGTTATTACAGCTCTTATTTAACTGCAAACATTGCGTTAAAAAATACAAAAAAAAAGGATTTATTGTACAAGCATACATAAACAGTTCTAACAAGGATATATCTATGAATATACCATATTTTCACTTCTCAGCTTTGGATTATGGCAACTTTAAATTTAACTTAGGGTAAGTAACAACTCTCATTTTTTGTTTTTAAAAAGAAAAAGCATGCACACAAAGAAAATTTCACTAAGGTGATTTGACTGGAAATAATTTTTTTGACATTTGTGTACCATTTGATATGGGTCTAGACCAAACTATTAAATCATTCACTCCAGAATAATCATTTTTATTGTACAAAATTACTTAAACACAAATAATGTTTAAATGTTTTTAACTCAATTCAGGATAAGAGACACGCTAAAACTGATTTACTGACTTTCAATTGAATTCTGAGAGTATTTTTTTTATCTTTAAGATATCTTTTATTTATATCTTTTACATTTTTTTTTTCCATTTTAAATGCCCCAGTTGTTCTATATAAGAATTTTAAATTTTATGTTCGTACCCTGGTAGGCTTAAGACCTCAGTAGAGATCCTTTTATATATGAGCCGTGTCATGACAAACCAACATAATGCGTTTGCGACCAGCATGGATCCAGACCAGCCTGCGCATCCGCGCAGTCTGATCAGGATCCATGCTGTTCGCTATCAGTTTCTCTACTTGTAATAGAATTGGTAAGCGAACAGCATGGATCCAGACAAGACTGCGCAGATGCGCAGGCTGGTCTGGATCCATGCTGGTCGCAAACCCATTATGTTGGTTTTGTCATGACGCGGCTCATATTTAGATGAACTTTATCATTACTGTATAAGTAATAAATTGAAGTTTCAAGCTGAGGTCACTACATCAAAATGTAATATCTCAAAAACAATTTACAACAATACATAAAATTAATAACAAATGATCAATACATAACTTCATGAGAAAATATTTTACAACAAAAAAAAAAAAAAAAAATTTAGACATTATATTATACAATTAACTTCACAATCAATTATATCATAATATGAGTATTTTACACAACTTTTTTCTATTTTTTTGTCCAAGAAAAACAATTTTTCAAACAATTTTTACATGGACATCATGACCTGCACTCTAAACATATGTGTCTTTAATGCTGACAAACAGATTCCAGTATATATTTTTAGAGATCAGACTTTTTTGGCTGACAATTGCCAATGGCAGTCTGAAAAACTAAGAAAAACAGGAGGGCCATGATGGCCCTGAGTCGCTCACCAGACACAACTGCTTTTCAGTGTTGGAATGTCAATATATTCTAATATTAAATTTGAGCATAGAATATGTTTAAACAATAATTTGAAGAAATGCCATGATCTGGGGTATTTAAGCTTTAGCTTAAACGGGGCTAATCAAATTAATATGAGCAAACTTGATAAAAGACTACTTAAGAATGCTACAAAGTTTGGTGATCATCTATCAATTATTTCAGTAGGAAATGATGTTCTAAGGTTTTTTCTATTTTTAGCTTTATTGGCCCCTAAAGAGGGCTAATCAAATTAATATGAGCAAACTTGATAAAAGATTACCCAAGAATGCTACAGACAAAGTTTGGTGATCATCCATCAATTGGTTCTGAAGTAGAAGATGTTTTAAGGTTTTTCTTTTTTTAGCTTTAGCGGCCTCTGAAAGGGGCAAATCAAATTAATATGAGCAAACTTGATAAAAGAGTACCCAAGAATGCTACAGACAAAGTTTGGTGATCATCCATCAATTGGTTCTGAAGTAGAAGATGTTTAAAGGTTTTTCATTTTTTAGCTTTAGCGGCCTCTAAAAGGGGCGAATCAAATTAATATGAGCAAACTTGATAAAAAATTACCCAAAAATGCTACAGAAAAAGTTTGGTGATCATCTTTTAATTAGTTCTGTAGGAAAAGATGTTTAAACGTATTTCTATTTTTAATTTTAGCAGCCCCTAAAAGGGGCTTATCAAATTAATATGAGCAAACTTAATAAAAGACTACCCAATAATGATACAGATCATCAATCAATTAGTTCTGTAGCAATAGACGTTTAAATGTATATCAATTTTTTATTTTAGCGGCCCCTAAAAGGGGCCAATCAAAATAATATGAGCAAACTTGATAAAAGACTACCCAAGAATGCTACAGACAAAGATTGGTGATCATCCATCAATTAGTTTTCTAGAAATAGACATTTAAAGGTTTTTCTATTTTTAGCTTTTGCGGCCCCTAAAAGGGGCCAATCAAAATAATAGTAGCAAACTTGATAAGACTACCTAAGAATGCTACAGACAAAGTTTGGTGATCATCCATTAATTAGTTCTCTAGAAATAGACATTTAGAAGTATTTCTATTTTTAGCTTTTGCGGCCCCTAAAAGGGGCCAATCAAATTAATATGAGCAAACTTGATAAAACACTACCCGAGAATGCTACTGACAAAGTTTGGAGATCATCCATCAATTAGTTCTGTAGGAGAAGATGTTTAAAGGTTTTTCTATTTTTAGCCCTAGAGACCCCTAAAATGGGCCAATCAAAATAATAGTAGCAAACTTGATAAAAGACTACCTAAGAATGATACAGACAAAGTTTGGTGATCATCCATCAATTAGTTCTCTAGAAATAGACATTTAACAGTATTTCTATTTTTAGCTTTAGAGGCCCCTAAAAGGGGCCAATCGAATTAATATGAGCAAACTTGATAAAACACTACCCAAGAATGCTACAGACAAAGTTTGGTGATCATCCATCAATTAGTTCTGTAGGAGAAGATGTTTAAAGGTTTTTCTATTTTAGCCCTAGAGACCCCTAAAAGGGGCCAATCAAAATAACATTAGCAAACTTGATAAAAGACTATCTAAGAATGCTACAGACAAAGTTTGGTGATCATCCATCAATTAGTTCTGTAGAAGAAGATGTTTAAAGGTTTTTCTATTTTTTGCTCTGCTGAACCCTAAAAGGGGCCAATTGGAATGACATGAGCAAATTCAATTGTGACTGTCACAAGGATGCTACAGACCAAATTTGAAGTAAATCTGCCCAGTAGTTTCAGAGAAGAAGACGATTGTCGACGCATGACGACGGAGCATCCCCCTTTGATACTTATAGCTCATCCTGAGCCTTCGGCTCTGGTGAGCTAAAAAAAAAACATTTTAAATCTTTTGTGCAATGTGTGTTGATATTAATGAAAACAAATAAACCATTATTTAACTTTAAATGAATGCATTCATTCCTTGTTTGACTTGTTTAAATTTTGACAATGGAATAAAATTCATATTCCTTTATATTCCTGTTACATCACTCAATGTGAAAAGTGTTTTTTTATGATCATTAAATAACACACAAAAAAAAGTAAATGTTAATATGATGAAAAAAATACTTGCATATAGAACAAGAACCACCACCTAGTGTGTGTGTAAGGGGGGGGGGGACACTCAACTTTTCCTTATTTCTAAAGTCAAACACATCAGTGGAAGAATATTATTGTAAAGACTTCTATAGTCAACAAAACATATTTTTCTTATGACAAATGCAATTCAAAAAAATTTCATATTTGACCTTGACAGTCAAGGTCATTCAAAAGTCCAGGTCACATTTGAATTAATCATCATGTCAATTTTTTAATAAGTGCTCTTTTGTCCAAGAATGAATCAAATCCATAGAGAAATAAGTAAGTAATGACAACATGACTGTAGCAATAGTTCAAAATTTTCCTTCAGAAAAGTCGAGCTAAAAATTGAACAGGGTTAAAAGCTGTACTGGACAGGAACCAGTTTCCGGACAGAATTCGAGTTTTTTTAATTGTATATTTTTTTTATAATAAACATGCATTAATAAAACTAACATACCAAAAACCAGAGCTCTAACTACATCCGATAGCACAATTAATACTGCCTGGTGACGTAAGCAATGTACAAACTGAACGGTTAAATTAGGTCATTAAAAGTGTAAATTGTTCACTCTTGCAGAACCAGTTTCCGGACATATATTGAGCTGCTATTCATTTCTTTTTTTAACTGATAATTATTCTAATATAACAAAAAATTTCTTCTCACATATTAGCTTTCTTATATAATTAAGCTGATTTACTGAAAAATGTCTATGATAGTAAAAAATAATGATCATGTGATGGGTCTCGGAATGACGGAAAAGTGAAATGGATATTTTTGTGTGTACGACAGCAAAGAAGTGCGAACGTGGAGTAAACCTAGCCAAACACCGTTTTCCGATACGTTACAGATTTAGCTCTGGGTTACACCCAATGAACTTCGATTGAAGTACATTGTGCATTAATTGCTACCCCAAATTAAACCCCGAAAGAAACAAAATATTGCGCATGCGCAGTACAAATTACATGCCCCAAAGGGATATAAGGCTGTTTTTAAAACACAGGTAAGATATCCTCACGAAATTTTAATGATGTATCAACTTAGAAGGAAGTTCATTTTCACAAACAATCAAACCAAGCTTCTTCATGATATATAATACCGATCGTCATCAATAAAGCCAAACTTAAGCCGTTATAATACTTGTCCGGAATCTGGTATTGTCCGGAAACTGGTTCCTGCCCAGTAGGCATCTTTCAAAAACTGTCTTTATATCTTTTTTTTAAAAAAACAAGGATTTTTACAACTCTGATTCCTGAAATATCAGTGCCCATCAAAACTAATGTGAAATAAGGAATTTGAAAAAAATAGATTTGTTACAACATAATGAATCAGCTTGGTAACTAGGAATTTTCGAACAAAAAAAAAAGTATTTTTACCAATCTGCACAGGTCCATTTAACCAACAAGCCTATAAAAGGGGAAATACAACACAGCATTTCCAGACATAGAAAACAAATATCTGTTATTTTTAAGCTCAAAACAGATAACAAATGACTCTCCTTTCCTGTAAGACATTTCTTCTATGAAGTTGTTGTTGCATTTGTTGTTGTTGTTTTTGTAGTTGTTGTAGTGGATGGTTTCACAGTGGGGCCGATAGGTGATGGTCTGATCGGACTGTAACAACTAACAAACTGAAATGTCTGTAATGTTGTCTGCTCTGTTCGTCCCAGTACCTCATAGTTACAGTTAAATCTGAAATATATCATAACCATAGAAATAATTTAATAATTTGAAGAATAAATAATTTCTGTAAATTTGAGATTGCAATTATTCAACTTTACAGGCATTTGTTGTTGGTTTTTTCCTTCTTTTTCCTATATTGGTGCTGTAGAAAATCTGTGAAGTAAATACCCCGTATTGGTATATCCTTTTCAGTGTTTTATCAACTGCTGGTTCTCAAAAAACTGTATGATATCTAACGTAATGTAGTCTGAATTGCTATTCATTTCACAACCTTTAAGCTTTGACCCACTGAAACTTTAAGTATCAAGTATTTGCCACCAGTAATAGAGCCAGAATGTACAGTCTAACCAGGCTCTATGCTGATGGCAGACTAACATTCCTGATATCCGGATATTTGAAAATAGACAGTCCCAAAAATGGAACCCATGTATGTTCATTCAAGAAAAAACAGGCCAAATAGGAACTATAATCATCCGGTTCGATTTCATATTATGGAGGCTATTGATGAAAGGGGTTTTCTCTGTATAACATGTGACCCTTTTCACACATGAGAAAGATAATTTACATGGAGTTACAAGTTGACAACTCGAAAGTTTTTAATATCCCTTGACATTTTTATAATAACTAAAACAAAGCAAAACATAGTATAATAAACATGTAGCTAGTATAATAAACATGTAGTTACAACAATGAAAAAGGAACTTACTCAAACAACATGACTAACTCATGAGCCCATCTTATTGGACTGTCACAGCTCTGACTGAAACAAACAAAATTCACAAGTTATAAAATTTACAATTTATTCCATTTTCTTGAAAAAATTGAAACAAGATTGTATTTGTGAAAAAAAGCTATGCCACCACATTAATACATTACTTAATAGTAGATACAGATGCTGCAGTGGCATAAAAAGAGGAACAAAATGTTCATTTACTCTCATTTAGTCACTGGGATGCTTATTTTTGAACACAATGAGACATGATTTACAGGTTATAAAAAACTACAAAAACAAATAAGCACAAATAATACTAAACTCACGCCATGTATCCCATTTGATTTTCTTGATCCAATGTGACATTAGCTGTGACATAATACTGGCCACTGGATCTCATAGGCACATCAAGTTTGGACATGTTTTTACTTTCTGCAAGCACCTGAGTATCATACAACACTGTCATTGCCACACTTGTTATCTTTATAGGCAGAAAATTCTGATTGCTGATGTTAAATCGGTTCTGAAAAAAAAAGAATACAGTATTTGCAGAGTTTTTTACCTTTCACATTAATCATATGTATGTACTCACACAAGATAAATATTGTTTACATCAGTAAGTTGGTAATATACTTGTAACAAATATATAGCAAGCTGAAATGTTGAAAACCTTTACAAAGAAATCTTTCAAATCTTCTTCTTCTTCTTCTTCTTCCAATATGTACAGACACTTTCCGGCGTATACTCGTACTAGCGCAGCGCGGTGTGAGAAGTGTCTATGTATGTACAAGAGTGATTTAAAAAAGTACTATGTATAGTGCTGGTAAAAAGGTAAAAACACCGGACTGTCTATCGGAGAGTGAGTGGTAGTACTTCGCTCTTGAAGCTGTCTATGGTTGTACAGCTTACAACTGTCTGGGGAAGACTGTTCCAGAGGCGGATGGTGTCTGGGAAGAAGGATCGCTGGTAGCACTGGGTCCTTGCAAATGGTACCAGGTAGTGAAGTCCATGTCCTCGAACAGAGATGACTGGGGTGAGGTTGGATGTAGGGACTTCAACTAGGCCATTTACTATGCGGTACATCATGGTCACCTTGGCATGGGCTCTGCGTTCTCGGAGGGTAGGCCACTGTAGGTGTTGCAGCATCGATGTCACACTGCTGGTTCTTCTGTAGTCTGAGAAGACCACTCTTGCTGCTCGGCGCTGCACCATCTCCAGTTTCCAGATATTTGCCTCAGTGAAAGGGTCCCAGATGATAGAGGAGTATTCCACCAGAGGTCTCACGAGGGTCATATAGCAGAGCTCTTTGGTCCTTCTTGGGCATTGATGGATGTTTCTCTGTAGAAAGGATGTGGCATTGTTGGCTTTCTTTGTAGTTAGATCAATGTGATGGTTCCAGTTTAGTGACTTTTGGAATTTGAGGCCTAAATATTTTGCTGTATCTACTTCTTCTAAGATGTGTCCATGGATGTTATATGGTTGTCTGATTGGTTTTCTCTTGTTTGTTATGTGGAGTATCTGGCATTTTTGAGTGAATTGAGTAAAAATGACATTAAAATGAATAGTTACATTTCATTATCTCATTGCATCAAAATCATGAATATAAAGTTTGCATATTTAATATTCACTATACTAAACCATTTTAAAACCTACCAGCAGCCTGTCAATTTTGAAACATCTATAAAGGGAAGAACTAAATATTTCAATTATTTATCATATCTTTTTGTTAGATTTAAGTCATACTGAAAATACAAAAGTCATATGATATTTTTCCAGCTGAACTGGTTTATACATATTTCAGGGCACGAGCTTGCATACCAGTTTTTTATGCGATAGTTTGCTAAGTCACATAAAAGAAATCAAAGAACTTGTCAGAATTCCAACCCACAGTTACAGGGGGCAAATCTACCTTAAACATTCGACAATGAAAGTACCTTATCATTTATTAAGATAACTGTATCAGACATATTGTCACCTTAGTGCAGTAATGAGTTAGTCCATCTAAATTTAATAGGAGTTAGCCATATATTGCACTAAGGTGACGATATATCACATAACGTGGCAAATATACACTGTACATTGTCGGATAAATCAAAATTAAAAACTCCACTGTTATAGCAAAATCTATTGCCCCCCCAACTTCATCCTGGCAGTTTGTTTTGGAATAACATTATTATCATAGAACTCTTACCTGTATAGTAAAATTAACATATTGCTGAGTAACATTAATATACACAGCACCAACTGGACTGAGGTACGGTTTTTTACTTGTCATATCTACACCTCGAGGAAACATGAAGAACATCAGAAGACCAGCTGCAGTAAGACATACAACAACAGCTAAACATACCCACAGGTAACTGAAATAAACGTAAATAGGAATATATATAAACATCCACAGGTATACCGTATACTGTATATGAAATCTTTGTTAACTTGGATCTAGAGCATTTATAAATTATGTCATGTACATGTTTTATACCAAACATATTGTTACTTTATCAATATCTATGTATTCTGTACTAATACCTATACTTTAGAAGTTAACTACTGTTATATACATCAATTATATACATCAATGAATCCTCTGCCAGCTGGCAGCAACTGAATATACCCATGCAGATGGTCTGTTCTAATTGTTATTCAATCATTAGTTATTGTGAAACTTTCCCTAAATATAAGGAATGATTTAGTGACTAAATCATTTTAGTCCATATTCAAAGATGGACAAGTCCATTTAAGATATCAACCATGGTTAAGGATAAGATAGACTTAATGAATGAATGGTATTTAACATATCCAAATCCAGCAAAAACATAATATATGTATCATTAATGAATCTACATGCTGTTGCTGCTTTACTATATACCTATATTGTCTGCGTTTTACTATATGCTACATATTGTCTGCATTTATCAAAAGTTGTACTATATATCTATAGTGTGTGCATTTTACTATATATCTATATTGTCTGTGTTTTACAATATGTTTCATATTGTCTGCATTTATAAAAAGTTGTACTATATATCTATAGTGTCTGCATTTTACAAAATGAATTAAATCTTAAACAAATATGTTCTCTATTATATCTATAGTGTCTGCATTTTACTATATGTTTCATATTGTCTGCATTTACTATATATCTATATTGTCTGCGTTTTACTATATGCTACATATTGTCTGCATTTATCAAAAGTTGTACTATATATCTATAGTGTCTGCATTTTACTATATATCTATATTGTCTGCGTTTTACTATATGTTTCATATTGTCTGCATTTATCAAAAGTTGTACTATATATCTATAGTGTCTGCATTTTACAAAATGAATTTAATCTTAAACAAATATGTTCTCTATTATATCTATAGTGTCTGCATTTTACTATATGTTTCATATTGTCTGCATTTACTATATATCTATATTGTCTGCGTTTTACTATATGCTACATATTGTCTGCATTTATCAAAAGTTGTACTATATATCTATAGTGTCTGCATTTTACTATATATCTATATTGTCTGCGTTTTACTATATGTTTCATATTGTCTGCATTTATCAAAAGTTGTACTGTATATCTATAGTGTCTGCATTTTACAAAACAAATTTAATCTTAAACAAATATGTTCTCTATTATATCTATAGTGTCTGCATTTTACTATATGTTTCATATTGTCTTCATTTACTATATATCTATATTGTCTGCGTTTTACTATATGCTACATATTGTCTGCATTTATCAAAAGTTGTACTATATATCTATAGTGTCTGCATTTTACTATACATCTATATTGTCTGCGTTTTACTATATGTTTCATATTGTCTGCATTTATCAAAAGTTGTACTACATATCTATAGTGTCTGCATTTTACAAAATGAATTTAATCTTAAACAAATATGTTTTCTATTATATCTATAGTGTCTGCATTTTACTATATGTTTCATATTGTCTGCATTTACTATATATCTATATTGTCTGCGTTTTACTATATGCTACATATTGTCTGCATTTATCAAAAGTTGTACTATATATCTATAGTGTCTGCATTTTACTATATATCTATATTGTCTGCGTTTTACTATATGTTTCATATTGTCTGCATTTATCAAAAGTTGTACTATATATCTATATTGTCTGCATTTTACTATATACCTATATTGTCTGCGTTTTACTATATGTTTCATATTGTCTGCATTTATCAAAAGTTGTACTATATATCTATAGTGTCTGTATTTTACACAAGAGCTGTCGGTAGGACAGCAACGCTCGACTATTCTTAGTGCTTGATAGTAAAAAAAATGCTTGATACAGTTACCTCCTCCTGTTTACAGGTTGGGGTCATGGTGGTGAACAAGTGTGCAAAGTTTCAAAGCCATATGTCTATGGACTTTGAAAATATTTGAACTATTACAAAAACTTTAACGTAAATTCTAAGTCGAAAAAGGGGCATAATTCTGTCAAAATGCTTGATAGAGTTACCTCCTCCTGTCTACAGGTTGGGGTCATGATGGTGAACAAGTGTGCAAAGTTTCAAAGCCATATGTCAATGGACTTTGAAAATATTTGAACTATTACAAAAACTTTAAGGTAAATTCTAACTCGAAAAAGGGGCATAATTCTGTCAAAATGCTTGATAGAGTTACCTCCTCCTGTCTAAAGGTTGGGGTCATGATGGTGAACAAGTGTGCAAAGTTTCAAAGCCATATGTCAATGGACTTTGAAAATATTTGAACTATTACAAAAACTTTAACGTAAATTCTAAGTCGAAAAAGGGGCATAATTCTGTCAAAATGCTTGATAGAGTTACCTCCTCCTGTCTACAGGTTGGGGTTATGATGGTGAACAAGTGTGCAAAGTTTCAAAGCCATATGTCAATGGACTTTGAAAATATTTGAACTATTACAAAAACTTTAACGTAAATTCTAACTCGAAAAAGGGGCATAATTCTGTCAAAATGCTTGATAGAGTTACCTCCTCCTGTCTACAGGTTGGCGTCATGATGGTGAACAAGTGTGCAAAGTTTCAAAGCCATATGTCAATGGACTTTGAAAATATTTGAACTATTACAAAAACTTTAACGTAAATTCTAAGTCGAAAAAGGGGCATAATTCTGTCAAAATGCTTGATAGAGTTACCTTCTCCTGTCTACAGGTTGGGGTCATGATGGTGAACAAGTGTGCAAAGTTTCAAAGCCATATGTCAATGGACTTTGAAAATATTTGAACTATTACAAAAACTTTAACGTAAATTCTAACTCGAAAAAGGGGCATAATTCTGTCAAAATGCTTGATAGAGTTACCTCCTCCTGTCTAAAGGTTGGGGTCATGATGGTGAACAAGTGTGCAAAGTTTCAAAGCCATATGTCAATGGACTTTGAAAATATTTGAACTATTACAAAAACTTTAACGTAAATTCTAAGTCGAAAAAGGGGCATAATTCTGTCAAAATGCTTGATAGAGTTACCTCCTCCTGTCTACAGGTTGGGGTTATGATGGTGAACAAGTGTGCAAAGTTTCAAAGCCATATGTCAATGGACTTTGAAAATATTTGAACTATTACAAAAACTTTAACATAAATTCTAACTCGAAAAAGGGGCATAATTCTGTCAAAATGCTTGATAGAGTTACCTCCTCCTGTCTACAGGTTGGGGTCATGATGGTGAACAAGTGTGCAAAGTTTCAAAGCCATATGTCAATGGACTTTGAAAATATTTGAACTATTACAAAAACTTTAACGTAAATTCTAAGTCGAAAAAGGGGCATAATTCTGTCAAAATGCTTGATAGAGTTACCTTCTCCTGTCTACAGGTTGGGGTCATGATGGTGAACAAGTGTGCAAAGTTTCAAAGCCATATGTCAATGGACTTTGAAAATATTTGAACTATTACAAAAACTTTAACATAAGTGGTTACGCCGACGCCGACGCTTGGGTGACTGCAATAGCTCTACTTATTCTTATCGAATAGTCGAGCTAAAAATGAATTTAATCTTAAACAAATATGTTCTCTATTATATCTATAGTGTCTGCATTTTACTATATGTTTCATTTTGTCTGCATTTACTATATATCTATATTGTCTGTGTTTTACTATATGCTACATATTGTCTGCATTTATCAAAAGTTGTACTATATATCTATAGTGTCTGCATTTTACTATACATCTATATTGTCTGCGTTTTACTATATGTTTCATATTGTCTGCATTTATGAAAAGTTGTACTATATATCTATAGTGTCTGCATTTTACAAAATGAATTTAATCTTAAACAAATATGTTTTCTATTATATCTATAGTGTCTGCATTTTACTATATGTTTCATATTGTCTGCATTTACTATATATCTATATTGTCTGCGTTTTACTATATGCTACATATTGTCTGCATTTATCAAAAGTTGTACTATATATCTATAGTGTCTGCATTTTACTATATACCTATATTGTCTGTGTTTTACAATATGTTTCATATTGTCTGCATTTATCAAAAGTTGTACTATATATCTATAGTGTCTGCATTTTACAAAATGAATTTAATCTTAAACAAATATAAAACATATCAGTAATAATTTTATTATCTCCAAATGATAAATCCAGCAACAGAAATTATCCACAATATGTATCACTCTTTTATTATTAATACTATAAGATGTATGAGAAAGGGATATTCAAGCAATGTATTTTTATACTATAAAAATAGTAGCTCAATAATAATTATCATTAACACATGTCTAGATAATGATATGATTGGATATTAGGATTAAAATTATATAATTATTTGTCCAAATTTTATAAGGACATTATATTATTGGACTAATTCTTTCGTTCATCACTTTCATTATTATTCTTTTGAACTATAATATTGTCATTTATAAATGTTAAAAATTTCAATATTTTATTCGGCAAAAACATATAAATGTTCATCTCCCATGTAACATTTCTTGTTTTCTCTTTTTATTCAAACAATTATTATCAATATCAAACAAACCATATCATTTCGATTTGTATATGATATACATATATAGGAAACTAATTTTATCTTTGATCTTTCATCCTTTAATTGGTTGCAATTATTCAATTTACTTTAGAATAATATCAGAATAGCATCTAATAAAATATCTTTTTTAAGTGCAAATTATACATAAAAGGGGTAGATTATCAAAATACAATTAAAATTGAAAATAAAATGCCTGTATGTAATTCTTAATAATATATACCCAGTGTTTTTTTTCTTTATATAACTACTACCCTAAAACGGTACCATTCCCAATAGAAAATAGACATTAAAATTCCCAATTTCCAATGTTAAATTCTCAAAATGACTGTTCAAAATGCCCACAAGGCAAAGAGATTTTTCTAAAATCATTTAAATCCAACATATTCATATAAATCACCACTCAATAGTTCTATCTAGACAGTAGTAGCTGTTAGCTATCTTTATTCATGATTTCTTATCTCATTTGTAGCTGAAAAAATGCATTAAAAAAATTCCCAATTTTAGTCAAAATAACGCATTTTTTCCCAATCAGTCTGGTTCCGGCACCATTCCCAAAGTAGAGAAAAAAACGCTGATACCCTTTGATCATTGTTAAATTATTTAAATACCTTCCATCCATAAATGCATTTAAAAAAATAATTCTAATTAATATATATTTTGTTTTATTCTAATAAATTTATCTATTTTAATAAATATACATATATTTATTTCATTATATAGGGCTAGCATCCTCCTTTACCTTTAATTCCCATTACAACCATTTCTATTATATATCTATATTGTCTGCGTTTTGTGAAAACACTATATACCTATATTGTCTGCGTTTTACTATATATTCTATATTGTCTGCATAAGCGTCTGCGTTTTAGCCTGTGCCGCAACTTCATTTCCTCCTTACATAAACAGATTACCTCTACATCGTTACATGTACATAATCTTTAATTGGGGGAAGTCAAAGGCTGGGACCGCAGTGGAAATTATCCAAATAATCTTAAAATTCTTACGTTCTTCTTGGCCGTAATCTTTTATCCTTCATAGGAATTAATGCCACAAGCTGACCCTCTTGCTCTGCAATAATAAAACATTCAACTATATTAAGACAGCTAATTCTCATTATCCAGCATAGTCTGAAAATCAATCAATCGACTCTTCTATCCTAAATTACACTTCTAAATTACATCAAATACTGAAACTTATTTCAAAAGAAAAATACTGCAGTTTACGAGGATTTGGAGACGTACGAGGGTTGTAAATTGAGTAGGGGCGGGGAGAGGAACCAATCTATGTATGAATGGATTATACTAGTTTTGAACTACATATTGAGCTATTCCTTACCCTTTGGAATTTTTCCCATACCCTTACACGATGGGCAGGGAACGCTTCCTTGTAGTAACTCCGTGTAAACAGACCCAGCATCATCGTCCGAGTCTTCATGATTCACCACAACAGATTCAAATGAACCATAACCCTCACTACTTTGCTGTCCTCTTAACATACCATTTTGCCCGGTTGATACAGTGGTCCTCATAATTTATTTCATCTTTTTAAGTTCATCAATTTTTCGCTCTCAAAAACGCTTTGAGTTTCAGACCTGTGATTAACCGAGATTAAGTCGTCCTTCCTAAAATCAAGAAGTCGGTATATTCGGAATGAAACGGCCCGAATCGCAAAGTTTTTACGTGGCCAAAAAACGCATTTAAAATTCACATTGAAATATGATTTTTTTTCAAAACGGCTTAACCCATTACTTCATATACACGCCTTTTAACGCCTTTTTCACCCCCCCTTTTTGTTGTCTCAAATGATGAAAAAATGCCTTATTTAGGCCCCAAACACTTGTTTTTGTTTGAGAAATGTTGTTAAAAAAAGTGACCTCTTTTTCGGCGCGGCCCCCCAACCAAAAGATACATCAGGGGGTTGCCAGAAAGGGGATGTGCCCCCTTCTGTTTGGGGGGTTTGAAGGGGGGCGGAGTCCCCCTCATCGCCAAGAAAAATTTTGGACTTGTGAGAGGCTGTAAATGACCCCAGATTGATCATAAGGTAACGTGTAACCAACGCTGAAAAGCATTTGACTCTATCTCAATCCATTGAGAAAGTGCAGCACTTTGAAATCAATTTTGATGGAAAAAATCAACGCAAAATAGTGATTTTTGGCAATTTTGAGATGTCCCCTCGTTGCCATGGTAACAGAAAATTTAAGCCTGAGCATGTTGTTGCAAGTGCAATGGTCCAGTCAACATTTGTGCCAAGTTTGATTAGTGTTGAAGCAGTTTTTATAGTATTATAGCAATTTGAACTTGTAACGGGAGACTTTTCAATGAAAACAGCCATTTTTCACAAAATGCTCATGAAGTAATGGGTTAATGAAAAAAAATCAAAAAATCTACAAAACAACAATTTTTCTTCAAATTTATATGACAGGCCATGTTTAAACATGAAAAAACGCGATTTAGGGTAATTTCAAGTATTTTCATCATTTTCAGTTAACCCATTACTTCATATACACGCCTTTTAACGCCTTTTTCACCCCCCCCCCTTTTTTGTTGTCTCAAATGATGAAAAAATGCCTTATTTAGGCCCCAAACACTTGTTTTTGTTTGAGAAATGTTGTTAAAAAAAGTGACCTCTTTTTCGGCGCGGCCCCCCAACCAAAAGATACATCAGGGGGTTGCCAGAAGGGGGATGTGCCCCCTTCTGTTTGGGGGGTTTGAAGGGGGGCGGAGTCCCCCTCATCGCCAAGAAAAATTTTGGACTTGTGAGAGGCTGTAAATGACCCCAGATTGATCATAAGGTAACGTGTAACCAACGCTGAAAAGCATTTGACTCTATCTCAATCCATTGAGAAAGTGCAGCACTTTGAAATCAATTTTGATGGAAAAAATCAACGCAAAATAGTGATTTTTGGCAATTTTGAGATGTCCCCTCGTTGCCATGGTAACAGAAAATTTAAGCCTGAGCATGTTGTTGCAAGTGCAATGGTCCAGTCAACATTTGTGCCAAGTTTGATTAGTGTTGAAGCAGTTTTTATAGTATTATAGCAATTTGAACTTGTAACGGGAGACTTTTCAATGAAAACAGCCATTTTTCACAAAATGCTCATGAAGTAATGGGTTAAAGTAAGTTTTATATACATATGATTAGTTCATGTGCTGGGATTGACAAATATACATTTTATTTGGATTTTAAAGGCGTTTTGAGCTCCACACCCAAGTGTCATGGGTTAGATAATACTTTGCCAGTAGAAGTTGCAATTTAAATGCTGCCCTCACACATAAACCACGACCTTACTGCGACCTGAAAACTAGTAAAATAGCATTTTTCTTTCGAAAATCGTTGGTTTTCTTTCAAATTTCCAAATTTCTCTCGCAGAAAATTTCTCTCGCAGACGGTCCGGGGCTCTGCAGTCTTGTGTTCAGTACGTTTTCTCTATGTCCTCAATACGACCCTTCTACGTCCATGGCGTTTCCACTGCGACTGTATTGCGTCCCCAAGGCGACCCCACGGCGATCATCGGCGACCCAGCTGCGACTGTGCTATGTTCTCTGCGTCCTTACGGCGACTCTACGACGACTATTGCGTTTGTCCGGCGACTGTCCTGCGACTGTACGACTACCCTACTACGTTCTTGCGACCTAACCAGGACTCAGCCAAGAACGCAGAGTTTCTGCGACTGTTTTGTGCATGTTCAAAATAGTCGCCGACGGTCTGCGACCTTGTGCGTCCTTGGGTTCCTCGCTACGACATCGCTGCGTCCCTGCTGCGTCCATGGCGACTGTGCTGCGTCCTAGGTCGTAGCAAGGTCGCAGTAAAGACGCAGTAAGGTCGCGAGGTATGTGTGAGGGCAGTATAAATCGTTCTTATAGTATTAAACTGATAGATGTGTTAACTTAACGATTTTTATATAGTGAATAGGCCCCTGATTGTCACACGTAAAGTGAGTTTCAAACTTCCCACCATTGGAAATCATTGACAATAATGTAAATTTAAAATAGTAATGCAATTCGATCACCTTTAGAATATCTAACATTTAACATATGAAGCTCGATAATGAAATAAGGTCTTGTAACTTATATAATATGAAATTAGGTGCTACCTTTGGCGTGGAAAGCTCTTATGAGTTATATGATATAAGTATAACATGTTTAGTGTACATGTAGACCAGATCATTCTTGTACATTGTTTGTAGATGCAGCTATTTTGTACCATAAATATATCGAATTATGTTTGTGGCCTAAAATAGGCAGAGGGCTCGAGCCCAGGGTTCATAGTCAATAGTTCACCACTCCCCTCAATATTATCTATTTCACGCGTTTCGTTAGTAAAGCGTGAAATATTTGTCTATTCGTAACGTGTATAGTTTATAATGTAAAGTATTGGTCAGTACTTGTGCACGGGTTTTACGTGCTTGATAGTGAAGTATTTAAAGGTTTATGTGCATGAAATATTCATTCTACCAGACGATTCAGTACAAGCAACATTTTATAGTAAAGATGATAGGGTGGAAATATATGCATATGCACATAATGTTTTTTAATTGTCGTAAAACATTAGCTGAAAATGTAAAAGTAAAAATCAGACTTTATACATACATGTACATCAATCGTTATTGTATAAGTTAAAATCAGATTTTATGCATGTATCAATTGTTATTATATAATCATTAAGAAACATCTTTTTTTCTTTTTTGAAAATTGGTAATAGGGTTTTGATAATATATTAGAAAATTATGAGGTTTTTTGAAGACGAAATAAATATGAGTATAATTTTTCTTTTATATGTGTATTGGCTATAAGCGCTTATATGATGCTATAAGGTTGTTGAATTTAACTGTTTTATATTATTCATACGTAAAGATGTTTACAATAATAATTAGATAAATCTATTTATGGTTTTCAATGGCAAGATTTGTCATAATGAATATTGAATAAGCGATGTCCATAACTTTATATCCACAAGGAATGAGGCCCGACATTCAAGCGATCTGACATTTGACAAACGGGCACAGGTTTTTCAGAGAAATTTCATTTATTTTAAATGTTTTTGATCTCTGTTGTTTTCCTGGGCGAGTCGGTTCGCATACTTAATATTTTTGTCTTTCCTTTCCGGCGTAATTAATTTTCAAAACAGTAATACACAGACTAGTCTTTGTGTTTTTCTCTTTTAAGAAAAGAAACGTATACATTCACTTGAGATCTCGTGGATATTTGGTTATATTATTTTTTGCAATATCAAAGCTGCTTAGCTTCATTAACTGCAGTTGAATTTGTTCCTCTCTGCAAAATAAATCGCACGTCTGGTATTGCATTTATGTTTTTGTTATTTCTTTAAACGAATGATAGTGAAGAAAAGACAGACAAGAGAGTTATGGCTGTAAAACATATAAACTGTCATGGGATATAATTGTGTGACACGTCACACTCAATTCTTCAACAAATAAGTTATGTTCTTTTCTAAAACAATTTAATTAAACATTTTGAAAATCTTTTTACTATTCTTTTATTAGGTGGACCTATTCTGATAGTTGTTGGACAAATAAAAACTCCCAGTTCAGTAGACAATTTTGAATTGTACATTATTTTTGCGTACAATAATCGTTCAAAAGTAGAGAGATATAAAATAATGCTGTATTTCAACAGATTATATGCCATGGTTATATAATGAGCGATGTCCTTTTGTAGTATTCATTGAGAAACTGGGTAATATATGATTTAAGTACATAGATGTCAAATGTACAATAGTGATGAGTGAATAAAGTTCACAGTACTTACAACATAGATAGCCTTGGATTCTGGCGATGATTTTGCTTGTTCATAACACAGATTTTGCTTATTCATCATACTCGCTGATTCGTATTCGCTTATTTTTGATAGAATCGATTTGCAAGACAGAGGCACATAAAAATAACGACAGACTCATGGAACCAAGGCTACTTATAAAAGTGATAAGTGAATAATGCTCACATTGTTAATGTAGTGTTCAGTGATTGAATGGAGTCACAAAATAATATTTCAATCATATCTTGAGAACATGTTACCTGATTAAGTGCATTTAATTTATTTTAATATACATTTTGTATTTATCTTTTAGTAAATATCTTATTTTCATGTACATGTATGTTTTAATTAAATCAGTGATAATGATCATCTTTTATACTGCACCATTGAATATATCTATATGTACACCCATTGAATGAAGCAATTTCAGTTGCTTTAATTAAAACCGTGGTCTAAGTACAGGTAAACTGTTATTTGTTAGCGATCAATAGGTGCAATAAAACATGTACATGGTTCTATAAATCTCGTCGTTTAATATTATTATAAAAAAATAAGACGATTAATGAGTCGGTATAACAGGCCTTTATAATCATTCGGACATTTCCGTGGTAAAATTTATCAATGACGCCCGCGTTGGTCTTATTTCAGGGTTTTTTTCAACCACTTGGTAATCGTATACATTGCATTTGAGCCGCGTCACGACAAAACCAACATAGTGGGTTTGCGACAATCATGGATCCAGACCAGCCTGCGCATCCGCGCAGTCTGATCAGGATCCATGCTGTTCGCTTATAAACCATATAACAAGTAAAGAAA